ACTGTTTACTAAAATGATAATTTGGCTGAAGTACATAGAAAACAATTTTACAGTGCAATTTTGAAAGTATTATTTTTGGTCAGTTTGTTGTCATTCTTTCTTCAATTCTTTTCTTGTGTTTAGGTTATTTTTTCCCTAACAACTTTAATGATTCTTTCTGTCTGGTGTTTTGAAGTTTCTTACAGACATGTTCAGCCATCATCTTTTTTTCATTCATTACGGTAGACATTAGATAAGTTTTTGTAATTGGGATATTTCTGTGTAGGGCTAAGTTTTTTTGTACTATTTCCTTGGTAAATTTTTACTGTCATTTTCTCTGTTTTTTTTTTTTTTTTGAAACTTCTGTTGATGTTGATCTGATATTGTACTTCCTTTATCAACTCTTCAAATTGCATGATTTTTTGCCGTCTTTTGTCTTTTCAGTCTTCTTAAAAATACTTTCTAAAATTAATTATTTTAGTTCTGATATATTTAATTTTGAAAAGTTCTGTAAGTTTTTTATTGCTCTCCACTCATTCTGTTTTCAGTTTTTTTCTTGTTTAATTGATGTAATAACATCTCACACCTCTCTGAATATTAAATATGTAGTAAGTATGTATTAATAATATATATTTTCTTTTTTTAAGGATTTTATTTATCTATTTTTAGAGAGAGGGAAGGGAGGGAGAAAGGGAGAGAAACATCAATGTGTGGTTGCCTCTTGCACAACCTCTGCTAGGGACCTGGCCTGCAACCCAGGCATGAGCCCTGAATAGGAATCGAATAGGTGACCCTTTAGTTCACAGGCCAGTGCTCAATCCACTGAGCCACACCAGTCACGGCTATTTTCTTTTGTTCCCAGTAATGGCTCTTGTCTCCAAGCCCCCTATTTTATTCTTTTTAGTTGATTTTGATCTTTCTGATGTTAGAGGATGTCTTTGATTATGTGGTCATCTTTAGCTCTTCATACATATTAAAGAATGGAACACTAAAAAGTTAGTTGGAAACCCTATGGTTTGGGATGGGGATAGGGCTGTTTCACAGCTCCAGAGGGCAAGTTTTAATTTTTTAATTTTTTTAAAAGATTTTATTGTTTTTAGACAAGAGGGAAAGGGAGGGAGAAAGAGAGGAAGAGAAACATTAATGTGTGGTGGTTGCCTCTCACACATTAGGGGACCAACTGGGGACCTAGCTCACAACCCAGGCATGTGCCCTGACTAGGAATCAAACCAGCGGCCCTTAGATTCACAGACCAATGCTCAATCCACTGAGCCACACCAGCCAGAGCCAGAGGGCACTATTTTAGTACTCTAAAAAATTACTGATATTTACCATATTAGAAATTAAAATTGTGAAATTAAAAAAAATTTGTCACTTAAAATAATAAACCCCCATAAGTTACATAAACAACAATTTCTGAAAAATAACTATTTTCCAAAACAAATTTATAAGAATAACATTGTATGTCTACTTAAATAGAAGACTGAATTCTCATGTTTTTGTATTTAGCCAATTACAATATGTTGTTTGGGTTGAAATATATGAAGAATATCCAGCTTCATACAGTGCTTTGAAAATCTTTTCATGCCCTGGCTGGTTTGGCTCAGTAGATTGAGCACCAGCCTGCAAACCAAAGGGTTGTCAGTTCGATTCCCAGTCAGGGCTCATGCTTGGGTTGTGGGCCAGGTCCCCAGTAGGAAGGCCTGTGTAAGGCAGCCACGCACTGATGTTTCTCTCCCTCTCTTCCTCCCTCCCCCTCTCTAAATAAATAAATAAATAAATATCTTTAAAAAATAAAATCAAATCTCATGAGGGTACTGGTACTTGAGGTGAGGTTCTGACAAACCAGCAGCTACAGTTGCTGCAGTTCACTCTTCAACTTCACAGTGTTGGCCCAAAACATGCTAAGTCATGTCCTGGTTCAAAACATTGAGCAAATAACAGGTCAACCAGAAACAGACACCCGATTTCCATGACAAACATAGTTACTCTGTGTTAGCTAGTGGAGCCACTTTCTGTGTCGCTGTGGGGGTATATACAGCAACACTTGGAATAGAATGGAACCTGCCCCTGTTGGCAGAGTCACCCCAAAGGAACGGAGAGATTAGTAATCATCACAGCTGCTATAATAATTGTATCAGAATCAACCAATAGTTGATGCGAAGTGAAAATACTGAGTACCCATTAAAATACAGCATGGTTGATAAAGTACATTTGAAACTAAAAATAAAAAACAAATAAATAAATCTTTTCAGATAATTCTGATTATTCTCCTTTGGTATTACATCAGAAGTAGACAAGTGGGAGTTTTCTTAAAGATTTATTACAATGTGATATCTGACTCCATATATCTAAATCTTTTGTACTTTATTACATTAAAATCTATTTTTCTGTTTTACACTTGGATGGAATCTTTTGTACATGGATGATTTGGGCAGGCATTGGTCATTTGGTTCCCTGACTGAGTTACTTAAATCTTCCAAGTGTTGACATGTTTCATTATATTATATCAAGTAATCACATTCATTAAGGTTATCATTAAAGTTTTCTTAAAATTTAATTTTTGCTTGAATTTTGTTTTGGGCAACAAATACTGTCAGCTTTCTTTGGTGGCACAGGCTCACTTTGTCAGTTTTCTAGAAAATGTCTACTAAATTGCCAAGTCTAACTTCTCACAGTTTGACAGTTACTTTTTTAAATTAAAATGATGTTAAAATGGAAAATAATTTGGCTCACAGCTCAATCACAGACCTAAGTATTTTCAGTACACAGTAGCAGTGCTTTAAGCATTCATCCTATTTTGTCACATAGGCTTTTAAAAAGACAAGTCAAGGATTGATACATAATAAAGATTGTATAGTAATCATAAAATTACTGCTGATGTGTGCTGATAATACAATTTTGATTTGGTGCTACTCCCTTGATTGGTGTTGAGATGCCAGCAATTTTACCCACCACTGTTTTTGTTTTAATTTCATGTGCCTCCTGAAGGTGTTTTGGAGGTCCCAGTGGTCTGTGAGGCAGTCTTGGAGAGCTGCTGACATGGATTCATATATGGAAAGGTCATGTCCTGAATTAGTGTGCTGTACAAACTGCACAGTCTGCCAGGGAATTGTTTGGACTTTAACATAAGAAATCAGGTGCTCAGCTGACTGATTCTTTGTTGGGGAGTATGCGCTCAAAATCATTATGGGAAATCTTCTATTTGGGGCTAGTAATTTTCTTCAAAGAAGAAATCTAGATTCCAGTTGGAGGTGGTAAGATGAAGAATGATTTCTCTGGCTACTGACGTTGTGGGATCCAGGCAGGAGAGCGACTGTGGGTCCCTTTACTCAGTTTATGGATTTGACTAATTTATTACTTGTTTTGCCTTATTTTTCTCAGTATCTCATGCCTACCCTTTGCCGTTCTTAGTGTTCACAAGTTTATACTGTCTCCAGTTCAGAGTTAATTAACCTCTAGCCTTTGTGGTAGCTCGAGGATAGGTATCTGTTGTACCCGTAGAAAGGCATTTAGATTTCTCATTAGTCTTTGTGTTTCATTTTTACCTTTTATGGACTGAATGTTGTACTGAATTCCATCAAATACCAGATTTCTTGGGTTGTTTGGGCAGAATGATTCTCTTGTACTTCCAACTTAGATGTTTTCTTGCAACTTCCTCTACAATATGCAGTCGGTTTCCACTCCCCAGCCACTTTCCATTTAAAAATTTGTTGAAACCTCTTTGACAGTAAGTCTGCTTTGGTGTTTACTTGGTGTCTATGGGGGGAAATGTTTTATTTCTTTGCCCTCATCTTAGCAAGGTTTTGTGAGAGTGAAGAAATAAATGTATGAGATTAATACATTTATCAGTCTCACAGGCTTGGGTCATCATTATAATGGTTAAGAAATTCACCACTTGTGGCATTGCTTTAGGTTTTCTACTTTACCTATGCAGTTTAATTTTTTATTTGTAAACATGGAGTTTATTATGTCTAGTATGTGAATGAAATGAGATAGTGAATGTAAAGTTCTTAACATACTGTATGCGTCATATGTGCTCAATAATTGATAATTGTTATAAACTGTTATGCTGGCCTCTGGCTTTCTAAGGTTTTATTGTATTCTTTCCTCCCCATGAAAGATTTGAAATAAGTAAAATATATAATTTGTCATTTAATATTACTTCCACTTACCAGGACTCCAAATATGAAATGATAATTTCAGAAATGTTTTTAAGTGTCTGTACTTAATGTTTGTTTTTTTTAAAAAAGTGTGGACGCCACTTGTTCAAATTTAAATTGTGTTTAACTAATTTTCTATTCAAGTAAAGTTGACTTTTGAACAACCTGGGGCTTAGGGACACTGACCCCCATGCAGTTGAAAGTTTGTGTGTAGATTGACTTAATCCAAAAAAACCTATAGTATGGTTGTCCTAGATATCTGCAGTGGGTCGGTTTTAGGACCTCATTGCTAACCCAGTGGATAACAAAGCCCATGAATGCTCAGGTCCCTTACATAAAACGGCATAGAACATTACATACAGTTGGCCTTCCACATCTGTGGATTCCCAACCGCAGATTGAAAATACTGTTTTTAACCCGAGGTCAGATGAATCCACAGAAGCGAAACCCAGGGATACAGAGTGTCAACTGTATATTTATTGAAGAAATTCTGCGTATAAGCGGACCTGCACAGTTCAAACCGTGTTGTTCAAGGAACTGTGATTGTAATTATGGCCCATATTTGAAACAGAGTCTAAGGAAAGCAGGTATTCTTATAACTGTATAACTGTTTTATGACCTTGATTCAGAAACTTGTGGTACAAAGAATTTCTTATAGATTTCTTTAAAGAGAATTTTTAAAATTGGACTTTTGATGAGAATTACTGTAGTACATACATACTTTTAATTAAGAAACTATTTTTTTAGTTCCTTCGTGTATAAGATTGAACATTTAAATTCCTCGAGAAAGTTTAATATCATAAAATTAGTTTAAGCTTATCTATGAATGTAAAAGAAAATTATTATTAATCATTTCAGGAAATTGCAAGACCTAATATGGCAGAAGAAGAAACAGAAACACCAAATTCTGAAAGGTAAATATAAGGAAAAACTGAATCTCTTGAAACCAAGTATATAAATGGCACTTGTTTTGCATCATTTTAGTTAATCAGCAAAGAACTGTTTAAATGTTTGTATATGGTATTGTTTTTAGTAGTGGCTTTTAATTTAAAACTTTTTGAAATTTTAATTCAACAGAATTATATTACAGATCCTTAGTTTTTAAATACTTTTATACATGTAGAGTATAAAGTTAAAGATTTTAAAGTACATACTAGTAAGTAAAATGTTAACAGATTTTAAATGCCCCTATTGAATGAAAACAGTTAAAAGATGCTACAAGTTACAACATAAGGAAAATTAATGCAAATAGGTAACAATCTTTTTTTATATATAAATTATTTTCAGAAAGCCTTATTGGTACTTACGTGGTGCCCTCTCAACTTAAAAGTTTCAAAATTTAGGAATTGGTTTTTAAACATTTAGTGCTCAGGTAGGGCACTAAAGAATATAAGACATTTCCCAAACTTTTAATAAAATAATTCCAACATTCTACTTAGAAATTTTTTTCCAGATAATTTTATTATGCCTTTTTTTGTTGTTCAATTACTTTTAAATTGATTCCTTCATTTCTTTTTTATACTGTATATTTTATAGTAGGTTGCTTGTTAAAGCCATTAATAAGCAATTTATGGAATAAAGCCTTATGAAGGTGTTCCTTAGAATTAGCTAGAAAAATGATCTAGCCCTCTTTTCACATAGCATTTTTTCTAGAGTCCTGAAAGGGAGGGGGAAGAATTTACTAATACTCAACTAAAGAGAAAAAGCAGACTAGTCACTTCTTTGTTATTTAACATTTTCTGTAAATTGTAGTTAGTCCAATAAGAGCTGGACAAAGTAACAATTATACAAATTTAAATGAGGAAAATATAATTTTTTTAAAGATTTAATTTATTTATCTTTAGAGGGGAAAGGAAGGAGAGGGAGAGAAATATCAATGTATGGTTGCCTCTGGCGTGTCCCCTGCTGGGAACTGGCCTGCAACCCAGGCATGTGCCCTGACTGGGAATCGAACCGTGGTTGCTTGGTTCCCAGGCCCGCGCTCAATCCACTGAGCTACACCAGCCAGGGCCCGGGAAAATATAATTTTTTGAGATGATGTAATTGGCCTATTATAAGACCCAAGAAAATTAGCTAAGAATCTTCCTTATGTACAATAACATGTGATTACAAAATGTAATGGAAAAATGTTAATTCACAATATTAACAAAAATGAGAAATGTGCAAGATCTAAATAAAAACATTTACTGGGATAAAACAATATTAATAGCTTGCATGATAAGCCATTTTCCAAATTTATAGGATATGGTTTGGAAAGTGACAAAATTTAAGATTCATATTTTTCTTTTTATTAATACCATAATTTATTTAATTATTGCCCTATTGTTAGACCTTAGGTTGCTTCTATATTCACTATTGAAACACTATTTCAATGAATGGCCTTGTACAAATATCCTTTGCATTATTAAATGATTAAATTTAGGGAGAAGAGTAGAATATAGGCAGTTTGCTCAATTGGATAATAAAGTACATTGTTAATCTATAATTGTTAAGACAGTCTCGAATTGGCTTAAGAATTGTCAGTCTAAAGATAGATCATAACAAAATATATAGTGAAATGGCCTCATAAATATAATTTAGGAAATAGTAAATAATTGGTACTATTGCTTTTATATTTGTCAATTCATTACAAAGAAAGTCTAAATTCTGGGTAGATTAATGTAAGAAATAAGACCTATGTTATCATTAAATTTATTTTTGCTAAAATAAACATTGTTACATCTAGATAAGCGGCTGGAGATCCTCTTAGAAATCTTCTATTTCTAATATTTGATTATTCACTAATAGTTTCTCTTAACACATCAGAATAAAAGTAAACGCACAGACACACTCATAAACATATATGTACAAATGTACACAAATCTATGTATTTTACATATTTTTAGGCATAGTTTTGTGTTTCCTTAAGTTAGGCTATTAAAAATTAGGGAAATGTTTATGAATGCTTATTTGATTTTGCATATATAAAGATATTGTAACCATAAGAGGATATACCAATCATAAAAGAAAAATAGTTTTTTCCATATACATTTATTTCTTATGTAAAGTACTCTCAGAAATTAATAAGAATGTTTAAATTTTAACTAAAATCAAGCAAGGATGTTAAGAGATGAAAATAATAGCCAGGACTAAAACTAGCTGATAGACTCTACTTTTAATGTGAGATTCTGGAGTTTTTCACTCTCTTGCCTAAGAAAATAGCAGCCTCCTAGTTTGTAAAATGACGAGGACTGTGAACCTGGATTTTGTTTTCCTTTTTGATGGACAAGTAAGCCTTAATTTTAAAAAGAATATTTAGAGCATGTCTTTATTTTGATAATGTTAAAAAACATTGTGTTATATGAAGGAATAGATAATGAAAGGCTTAATTTTTTTTTCAGTCAACATGATAAAGCTTCTTCAGAAGAAGAAAAAAGTGGATGTGATGCAAATTCATTTGAAGCCCCATCAGCAACGAAAAGTGAAGAAAGCATAATAGTTTCAGATAAGGAAAAGGATATCTGTCTTGAAGACAAGGAAACTGGCTCAAAGAATATCTTCAGTTATGATTCAAATATTGGTGAGGATAAAGTGGAAAAGGAAAAACAAATTGAGCACATTTGTCAAGAAACAGAGCTGAAAATGTGTGAAAGTTCAGAAAACATAATTTCATGTGATGAGATTAAAGATCAAAACTGCAATGAAGCTGGGTTTTCTTCAAAGAATATTAAGGATTTGCGGTTGACATCTGGTGATGTTAGCATTGATCAGTTTTTGAGAAAAAGAGATGAACCTGAATCTGTTAGTTCTGATGTTAGTGAGCAAGGCAGTGTGCATCTGGAACCTTTGACTCCATCAGAGGTACTTGAGTATGAAGCCACAGAGATTCTTCAGAAAGGTAGTGGTGATCCTTCAGCCAAGCCTGATGAAGTAGTGTCTGATCAAACAGATGATGTACCTGGGGAAAATAGCCCTAGCACATCAGAGACAACAGTAGACCTTGCAGATGAAAAAGAAAGAAGTTGAAATTAGTTGTCATTCTCAGTTTTAGTGTACAAATGGTGAGAGCATTTGGAACAGTGCTATCAGGTGAGCTCAGTGGTGCTTTAGTGGAGTTCAGAAACAGAAAAATGTGAGGGAGGTCATTCATACACTTTCTCTGAACAACCTACATTATTACAGAAATCAGTTCAATAATAGCATGATAGTGTGGATTTTCAAGGGGTTTTAAAACATGAACAGAATTTTAATGAATGTTTACAATAGAAAAGCTTCATTTAACAGTTCTCAAGGAAATGAAACTTGATTGCCAATATGAATCATTATTAGAATATTAGTTACATTTATAAGCATTGAAAATTCCATCAATCCTAAGCTAAATATCTTTATTACTTATATGTCCTTCTCAACTCAGAGGAAGAAAGTTGGAAACCACATACTTTTGGGGAATAATTGATTTAAAATAATGGCTAATTGGCATTGTTAGTGAAAGCTTTATTTTGGGTATGATGCTGGTAAATGCTTAGAGTATGAAATTAATGAAGCTATTGAGAATTTGAATGAACGTAAACTTATTTTGGATTTAATATAACATTCCAGACTATCATAAGCATGTAAACAGAATATTTGAATCCATGTACCTCCATACAAGTGTTAGCCTGCCAGGCTGTAAGCTTACCTTAATTAAACTTTCAGTGAAAGTGAAATTATTAAAATATAAATTTATATTTGTGTTTTGTCAGTGTGAGCTGTGCAGAAATCCCTTAATGAACTAGTTGTATAAAGTAGAAATCCATTGTTGAAACTTCTGTAGCTATTATGCTTTTAATATTGTTTTAATGATCTTTAGAATTAGACTCATAAAAATGGTCTGGAAACCAAACCAAAGTATGAGATAATAAAGATACTGTAAAGCAGCAAACTGAAAACATGTCCTGGCATGAACTCAGCCATGTTTAAGTGACTTTTCCTTTAATTGTAAAATAGAGACTTCAAATGGAACCTAAAGCAGTGATGTGAAAAATTGGTTTGGGATATTTAGTCTAATTTATCCATAAGATGGCCACTAAGTTGATTTTCAGTTGTTTTTTATCCTCTAGTTAATAAAGATCTAGAAATCAGTAAGAATAACAGTAGTCTGCTTTGAAGTACTAATAAACTTTTATTTAAAATGCTACATTTTTACTTCTTAAAACGTGCATTGAATTCTTAAATTTTGTTCCACTGAATATTAAATGTTTTAAATGTCTATTAAAATTCTGCTGTATATAGTTTTTGAGTAAATATTTGTAATAAAATTCTGTCCCTGAATAATTTTATTTTTCAGAAAACTGCTTGAGTCAGATTACCTGTGGCGCCTTTAGAAACTGTATGCTTGTTCAAGGAAATTTCATGTTAAAGTTAGTGGTAGGGTTTCATTCTGTATTTTTTAATTTGATATATGATATATTTTAAGTCAGTAAAATATAGGGCGAAGTACTGCTAATATTTACAGAGAATAGATATGTTTTCTAAACCCTTTCACTTCAAGAGAAATATAATTTAATATTATAGTTTTCTATCTGCTCAGTAAATTAAAGAAGCTAAATAGGCAAAATATATTAAGTTATTTTCTTGAATATGGGGGAGGGGTGGGAAAACAATATTTTTATCTCTCCTGCTCCCAAGAAAAGATAGGGAGAAAGGGACCTATTTGCTCTTCCCCTTCACCTTGTTGAATCATAAATCTATCGAGCAGGAAAGATTTGGGGAGTAATTTAAAACTTAGAAGAGCAGGAAGTAGAAGAAAAAGTCTTTGTGATTCACTTTGAGAAACTCATTCAATTAGTTGCCAAGCCTATGCTACAAAACTCTAGAGCACTGTGGCAAAATAAGTCTCCCAGTGACATTAATGCCTTTTGAGCTTTGGAGTTGTCCCTTCTCCTGCCTCTATATATATACCTTTATAGTAGTGCTATTCAAAGGAGCTGTTCAGTGAACTGTTTATACCTATCCACTGCAAGAAAAGGAACCTGTACCAAACTGTAAGTTCTTTATTGAGAAAGTGTGGCACTGAAAACAAAAGCAGTTGAAATAAACATTGTATTTAGTAACCTAATTGGTATATGTTCTCACACAATTTCCTTACCTGATTTCTGATCAGGAACAAACAGTTCAGGTAAGCAAACCAAACCTATATATAGCAGTACTTTAGAAGAGTGGTCTGCAGACTTTTCTGTTGTGAGTCCAGGTGCTAAATTGTGGGCCCTGGTCACAATTACTTAAGTCTTCCTTGTAGCATAGAAGCACCTATAGGTAGTGTGTAAACAATAGCCTGTTTGTGTTTCATTAAAACTTTATTTTAAAAAAAAAAACAATGTTGGCTAGATTTAACTTTTGCTTTAGAGTGTTTAGACTCACTTGATATGACGGTGAAAGCCAGTAATGCAGGTTAGTTAGTTACTGTTTGCCTAAGAACTAACTAATGACTAGTGCCTTAGTATTTTAGGGTTCCCTGTTATCTAGCAGTAGGATTATGATAGGTTAAAAGTGCAGTTCAGTGACATTAATTTGATTATATTGATTTGGTGGCGTATACTTTTAATTTACATTGAAAATCTAAATGCCATATTTATGTGTTATTTCTTCCCCTTTGCATCTCTCCAGTGTTTTAGGGAGAATTTTGGAATTGTTTTACCTTCTACAAATTTTAAGAACTATTCTAAACATTTTTAAAGGAACTGGCAAGATACAAGTTACCTTGTTTTTGCTATAAGTAAAAAGATAAGGAATCACATATCTGGGCAATATTTACCTAAGGTTACAAAGCCAAGATTTGATCTGATTCTAAAGTTATTATTTTCAGTCAGACCTATAGTTCTCAGCATTTACATTGAAAGTTGCTTTTTAAAATAAATCTTTTATTTTTTGCAAATAATGCTCCCATTGATCATATAATTATAGTTTGTTTTATTATTTATACAGTGATTATACATATATGGAATGGAGTACTTCTTAACCTAAAGAAAAGGAACTAGTAATATTTTTTATTGCCAGGAATTAAGGGATTTTACCTCAGGAGGAGGAGTAATTATTGTGTTAATAGGGAAGATGTGTAATATAAAGATATACTTCACATAATTTAATAATTTTAACATCATTACATTTTTGTAGCCTTCTATAATGTCATTTTTTGACTCCATGGTTGGCACGATAAGTTTTGTTCCATCAAAATTGTTACTCCAATACCAATCTTTCCTACTGACTTTAAAGAAATAAGACTTTTGTATCACGTATATAGGCACTCAAAAAGGATTATAGGTGTTTCACTTTTACTAGATAACTATAATTCTAAGACTTGGTTTTTTTTCCAGCAAAGAAGTGAAACTCTTTTTTTTCTTTTACATAGGGCACATATGCAGATCCATGTAGACAAAAGAATATAGTCAAATGGGTTTTTTTTAATTGATTTTAGAGTGAGAGGAAAGGGGAGAGAGAATCATCAATTTGTTCTACTTATTTATGCATTCATTGGTTGTTTCTTGTATGTGCCCTGACTGGGTGTCAACCTGCAACTTTGATGTATTAGAAATATGTTCTAACCAACTGAGTTACCCAACCAGGGTTAGATAGATTTTTTAAATCATGACATTTTTTTTATTGTTAGACTGTTTCTCTGTTGTTTTTTCCTCCTCCTTGTGAAAGTAAACCCTTTAACATTTGTTACAGTACTGATTTGATGTTAACAAACTTCTTCAGCTTTTTCTTGTCTGGGAAGTTCCTTATTTCTTCTTCAGTTTTAAATGATAGCCTTGCTGGGTAAAGTAGCCTTGGTTGTAGGTCCTTTTCATCACCTTGAATATTTCATGCCACTCCCTTCAGCCCTGATTGGACAAATATGTGGGGAAAAATGTAACTTGGATCACCTCCTTCCACCATACATGAATGAAATCAAAATGGATCAGAGATTTAAATGTTAGACCCAAAACCATAAAGATCCTAGAAGAAAATGTAGGCAGAAAATCTCAGACGTTGCTCATATCAATTTTTTTATCAGGTGTATCTCCCCCCCACCCGAGGCAAGGGGAAAAAAGAAAAAAAAAAACAAATGGGACTACATCAAACTAAAAAGGTTTTGCACAGCAAAGGAAATCATCAACAAAATAAAAAGACAATCCACAGAATGGGAGAAGATATTCGCCTAATATCTAATAAGGTGTCAGTAGCCAGTGACTTACAAACTCACACAAAAAAACCACTTCTCCAAAGAGGACATACAGATGGCAAATGGACATGTGAAAAGATGCTCAACATCACTAATCTCCAGAGAAATACAAATTAAAACCACAATGAGATACTATGACACCTGTCAGAATCGCTGTCATCAATAAATCAACAAATAAGTACAGGTGAAGTTGTAGAGAAAGGGGAACCTTTTTGCACAGTTGTTGGGAATGAAGATTTGGGCAGTCTCTGTGGAAAGCAGTATGGAGATATCTCAAGAATTTAAAAATGGATATGCCTTTTGACCCAGCGATCCTACCTCTGAGAATATATCCAAAGGAACCCAAAACACTAATTCAAAAGAATATAAGCACCCCTATGTTCACTGCAGCATTATTTACAATCACTAAGATATGGAAGCAGCCCAAGTGTCCATCAATAGATGAGTGGGTAAAACAACTATGGGCCATTTACACAATGGGATACTACTCAGTCATAAAAAAGAAAGTTTTACCCTTTGTGACAATATGGATGGACCGGAAAAACGTGCTAAATGAAATAAGCAAAAAGGCAAATACCATATGATTCACTCATGTGGAATCGAATGAACAAACTGAACTAACAAGGAAAATGGGGTGGGGACAGACTCGTAGATAGAAAACAGGATGACAGCTAGTGGGTGTGGGGGTAGTTAGAGGGTGGAGGGGTTGAGGAAAAAGGGCTCAGGTACATGGACAATGTGGTGATTGCTGAGGGAAAGAGGGTATAACCAGGGGACTAAATGGTAATGGAAAAAGATACAGTAAAGATTTAAAAAGTCATGGCAGTGTTTAATTTTCAACTTAAAAGCTGTAAATTGAAAGACACTTCACTCAGATCACCTTGTAAGAAATTAAACATATCTGCAGCAACAGTGGGAACATCCTGGGTGAAGTTACTTCTACAGTTAGGTAAAGGTAACTTTTAATTGCTTGTTAAATGTATTATAAAGTCACTTTCATTTAATATACTAGGCATAATTTAGTCTTCTTTGATTACATAGTCATCATTATGAAGATTATTGGATTAAGCTATACATGAAGCTGTAGCTGCAGATGTTGATAGCCTGAATAACTGCTGATCAGACAAGTTACCATGGATTTTGGTTTCCAGGAAATGACCTTGGTACATCTGGGGTCATATGACTTTTCCAAAAACGACAGAAAATTTGCACTACTCACTTAATTCAACCTTTTTTTAAATTGGGGTAAAAAAAATTCATTAGTTTTAGGTGTACAATGTAATAATTTAAAACTTGTGTTTGTTGCAATTGACCACCGCAATAAGTCTACTTAGTATCCAACATCACACATGGAAAAAAATTTTTATGATGACAACTTGCACGATTCCCTCTTCTAGCTGCTTTGAAGTATGCAATATAGTATTATCAATGGTAGCCACCAATGGTAGTAAGTTATGCTCACCATCCCCATGACTTACTCATTTTATAAGAGAAAAATATATACCCTTTGACCCTGTTACCCATTTTATTCACACTCCCAACCCTCAGCCCTCAAATCAGGCAAGCACCGATCTCTGTATTCATGAGTTCAGGATTTTTTTTTTTTTTAGATTCCACATATAAGTGAGGTCATATGGTATTTATCTTTTTCTCTCTGACTTAACTCACCATAATGCCCACGAGGTCTATTCATGTCATGATTTCACTTTTTTTAATGGGTGAATAGTGTTCCAGTGTGTATTATATTTTCTTTAGCTGTACATCCATCAGTGGGCACTTCGGTTATTCTGTACCTTGGTTATTGAAAGTATGCCACAATGAATATGGGGGTGCATGCATCTTTTCAAGTTAGTGTTTTCATATTTTTTGGATAAATACCCAGAATTAGAATTGTTGGACCATATGGTAGTTTCACTTTTAGTTTCTTGAGGAACTTCCATACTGTTTTCCATAGTGGCTGCATTAATTTATATTTCTACCAATAGAGCACAAGGATTCCCTTTTCTCTACATCCTCACCAACACCTGTTATTTCTTATCTTTTTTGTAATAGTCTTTCTAACAGGTGTGAGGTGATACTGTGGTTTTAATTTGCATTTCCAGTATGATTAGTGATGTTGAGCATTTTTTCTGTATCTTGGCCATTTGTATATCTTTGGAAAAATCTTTTCAGGTACTCCCCATTTTTAAAATTGGAATGTTTGGTGCTTATTTTGATTGTCTTTTGCTATTGAGTTGTGTGAGCTCTTTATATATTTTGGATATTAATGCCTTATCAGATGTATGGTTTGTAAATATCTTCTACCACTCAGTATGTCTTCATTTCTTTTTTTACTTTTTTAAAATTTTTATTTAGTTATTTTTCAAGTATAGTTTTCTGTTTATTTCTCCCATTCCAGCCTGTGCAAAAGCTCTTTAGTTTGGTGTAGTCCCACTTACTAATTTTTGCTTTTCTTGCCCTTGAATTTGGTTTCAAATAAAAAAATCAACACCAAGATCAATTTCAAGGAGCTTACATCTGTATTTTCTTCTAGGAGTTTTATGGCTTCGGATCTTACATTCAAGTTTTTAATTCCTTTTTGAGTTAATTTTTGTGTATGGTGTAAGATAATGGACCAGTTCCACTTTTTTTTTACATGTGGCTGTCTCATTTTTTCAACACCATTCATTGAAGAGACTATTCTTTCCCTATTGTATATTCTTGGCTCCTTCATTGTAAATTAGTTGACTATATACACATGGGTTTAGTTTTTGGCACTATTCTGTTCCATTGAGCTATATGTCTATATTTATGCCAATGCCATACTGTTTTGATGACCATAGCTTTGTGATACAGTTTTAAATGAGGAAGTGTGATACCTCCAACCTTTTTCTTCTTTTTCAGGGTCTCTTATTTTTTAATTGGGATTCACCAATCTGTACTTAAAAATGACCCCCCCTTCTAACTATTATAGTAAAATGCTGTTTGTGGGAAATTTGGGAACTATAAACTATAGTTTTAAACTTTTAAAATATTTTATTTTACCCACCGCCTTAAAAACATTTTTAATTGCTGTATATCATGGGCTAGCAAACTATTGTATTCAAATACTGTCAAATAAATTTCTTGGCAATTCTCAGTGTACGATTATTTACCAGAGGCTACTGTACTTTACAAATACTTTAACAAGAAATGCAAAGAAAAAAGTAAATGTTGTGGAACATCCTGAAATGAAATCAGAAACTAATCTAAACTTTAAATAAACAAAAGCAATGTCAGTTTCAACTAGAAAACCAAAATCAGGGCAAACAAAAAATATTTCTGTCATTAAAAATGGGAGTTTCTGGAGCTACATGTTATCTACTGCAAACGTAAAGATTTTTTTTGACAGTCCTGAATGTTTGTCTAGTGCAAAAATGAAAGAATTTTCTATTTCTGAAATATTTATTACAAAACAAAGACTACCCAGGGCAATTAATGCATTGTGTGATTTTAAGTTTCATTTTAAGAATAACTTTCAAATGTTTTTGGTATATCCAATTTTTAAAGTGATTTTTATTTGGCATTTATATTATGTCCCATCATATAATGTTCTTTTTTTGTTATCGGACATCTTTATCAGAGATAGTGGTATTGCAATATACAATCTTAAACTTATGGACCTTGGTCTTAGGGTTTTATGAAGTTGTCCCTAAACGTCATAAAAAGGCAAGGGAAATAAAGGCAAAAGTAAGTGAATGGGACTACATCAAACTAAAAAGTGTCTGCAGAGCAAAGGAAACCACCAACAAAACAGAAAAGCAACCAACTGACTGGGACAAGATATTTGCACATAACAGCTCCAATAAGGGGTTAATGTCTAAAATATATAAAGAATTCATACAACTTGGCAGCAAACAAAAAAATCCAATTGAAAAATGGGCATAGGACCTGAACAGACACCTCTCCCAAGGAGACATATAAATGGCCAATATATACATGAAAAGATGTTCAAGTTAACTAGCTATTAGGGAAATGTAAATCAAAACTGCAATGAGATACCACCTCACACCTGTTTGGCTATTATCAACAAGATGAGTAATAGCAAGTGTTAGAAAGATTGTGAAGAAAAAGGAACCCTTGTTTACTGTTGGCGGGAATGTAAACTGGTACAGCCACTATGGAAAACAGTATGGAGGTTCCTCAAAAAATTAAGAATATGACCCAGTTAACCATATGACCCAGCAATCCTCTTCCTGGTGTCTAACCAAAGTATTGGAAAACAACTATTTGCAAGATATATGCACTTCTATGTTTATTGCAGCATTTATCCATGGTGGCCAAGATACAGAAAAAACAAAGTGTTCTTTGATAGATGATTGGATTAAAAAAATGTGATACACACACACACACACACACATATACACAATGGAATACTACTTAGCCATTAGAAAAGATGAAATGCTGCCATTCGCAACATAGATTAATCTTGAGAATATCATGGCTAAGTGAAACAAGTCAGAGAAAGCTAAGAACCATGTGACTTCACTGGTATGTAGGATATAAACCTAATCCATAGGCACAGACGACAGTATGGTGGTTACCAGAGGGAAGATGGGGTGGAAGGTAGTCAAGGGTAGAGGGGGCCAAATATATGGTGACAGCAGTTTGACTTTTGGTGGTGGGCATACAGTGCAACATACAATCCCATGTATCATAGAAAGGTACACTCAAAACCTATATAAATCCTAACAAATGTCACCCCAATAAATTTAATAATAAAAAATATATAATCTTGTTCATGCTAAAAAAAAGATATTTTTAAACAAAATTTCTGAAACATTTAATATAACAAAAATAATTGTGGGGTTTTTTTTTACTTTTATTTTTTAAATTCTCACCCAAGGATATGTTTATCGATTTTAGACAGAAAGGAAGGGAGAGAGAGAGAAAAATCAATTGGTTGCCACCCAGATGCACCACACCAGGGATGGAACCCACAACCTTTTGGTGCCTGGGATGACACTCCAACTAACTGAGCTACCTGGCCAGGGCTAAATGTTTATTAGGGTCACTCACAACTATTTAAAAATTCATTAAGAATAGTGTCATAATACAGAATGATGATTCTGTATAATTTTGAAATTCCTGAGAATTCCCAGAAATTTTGATTCATCATTCCCACATCCTAAATAGTAATGTCTGTCAGGAATTGGAACTGCCAGTGCCCAGTAAATCTGTTCAAACAGAATGGCTTAGAAAACGGGCCAAAGTGTCAGTCTTCTACCAATGCCTGGTGGGTTTATGGGACTCCAGTGGGGAGGAGTGGAGGGGAGCATGACTTTAAAATTGTGGGTGTGACTGTTGGCTCAGTGTTGGAGTCATATAAATAAGCCTAATTTTTGAGATAGTTTACTCTCAAACTGTGAGCCTGGACTAAAAGTTAGTGATTGTTCAAGACTTAAAATGACCCTTGGCCCCCCAATTTTCTGTATTAGACAGGAGGTTGAGAAAGTCGATTGGTCCTCAAACAGAACATATCTCCCAATGTCCGCCTGAAAATTGGTCAGGAAGAATAAAGAAGAAGAAAAAAGAGGAACAACCTCCTGGATGTGGGATCAATATTTTGGACAGCAATTGATTATGGATCTCCTCCCAGCGAGCAGAATCAGGTTGAGTTGAGAAATTTTTGTACCGCCAGAGGTGAGGGTGTTTGTAGCAGAGAACTATTTTGAGCCAGTGACTGTGCATCTCCCATCTTTCCCTTTCTGACTAGTAGTGTTTTTTTTATACTTTTCTTCTGTTTCAACCTGTAAGTGTAGGGGACCACTTTTTAGTTCAACAAATTAAGTGGAGAGTAGTGCATACCACCCCCTGATTTAGACACTAGTGGGAGATTCTGAATGTTGAGGGTGATGCCAGTGATTTAATGGGACCATCCTCAGAGACAGAGGGTATATATGACTGTAAAAGGAGGGTGCATTGAATGATTCGTAGTAGTCATTAGATAGTCACCTTATAATTATCATTCTCCCCAGACAAACAGATACCTAACAGGGTTACACTTGATCCTTGGGTGGGACCATTTTACTGGCCTGGGTTTGACCTGGGAATTGTGGAGAAATATGACTTGTGTCACTTCTGAATTGGAGCATTGAAATACTTAATTCAGACCCAACTTCTTGTGTTTCCTCTGATTAGTTTACCAGCAACATTTGAGATGATGCTATCTATACCTACAATGAACACAAGGATCACCATTTTAAAATGCAATGGACTTTTAAAATGAGTGAGAAACAAGTATGTGTTGCTTTTCATCCTTGAGATTTGAGGATGGTTACTGAATGTACTTCTTGCCTCTGCTGACTGATAATATCTTGAAACTCTTTTCATGCCAGTGTCTGGGAACCTATCTCAGAATTTTCTAACCTTTTTAAAGTATATCTCAGCATTTCCAGTATTTTAATATGCAAGCTATTATCTTGCATACTAATGTCATATCTATCTCTCTAGTAATTTTAAGAATTGTTTTTGCATAATTTGAAAAATAGTTATAGGACTTTTACTTCTGGCCAGTTTGGAGTGGAAAGGACTGGATTTACCCTCCCCCTGCCTTGAGACAATGCAACATGTAACAATGGTTTTCAAGACAATAATATCAGGAATGAACACAGCAATCCACGAGAGACAGAAAACAAATGAGGTCAGCCCTGTGATTGCTTCAGCTTCCTGCCTTGAGAACTTCCAAGCTGAAGTACAGGGAATGGGAACTAAGGCAAAAATCTGGGAGATTCGGTGAGTTAAGGAGATAGAACTGAGAGTTTGGGGAGAACCAGGGACTTAGATTTCATAGAACCAAGTCCCTGGCACTTTAAACAGGACCAGAAATAGTGCCTATTCATACCAGCTAGAATGAAAAAAAACTTATAATTCATGAGACATTGAATAGAGAATTCAGGAAGGTCTTACCTCAGTAGTATGGGAAAAAGTAATCCTAGACTGAGCACTGCTTTCTACCCAACTAACAAATCATAAAAGCAAGGCCTGAAAAAGTCAAGTAATTTCCACTTAAAGATTCTGTATCCCAGAAAATAACTTAAGAAGATATAGGAATACAAAAATGTCAAGTGCATACAAAGGTAAAACTCACAGTGTCTGGCATCTAATGAAAGATTACCAAGCATACAAAGAGTCAGGAAAACATGACCACAGCGGGGAAAATACCTGGTCAGATAATAACCCAGGTTATTATGTCAGAAATAGGACAGGGCATTAAAACAGTTAATACCACTATTTTCAAAAAGTTAAGAAGATATTAAATACACCCAAAATGAGCTAGAAAAATGAACAACATCTGGGATAAAAATTGTGATGACTGGCACAGATCAATTGAGTGTTGTCCTGCAAAGCCAAAGGTCATGGGTTCAATTTCCAGTCAGGGCACATGCCTGGGTTGCAGGCCCAGTCCCCTGGTTGGGGCATGTGCAAGAGACATTTGACTGATGCTTCTCTCACACATTGATGTTTCTCCTCCTCTCTTTCTCTCTACCTTCTCCTTTCTCTAAAAATAAATGAAATCTTAAAAAATTATGCTGATGGGATTAATAGCAGATCAGACATAGTAGATGAAGAGATCAGTGAATTCGAAGGTAGCAATAGAGACTAGTGATCTATGAGAAAATATCAAGAGGCCTAATATTTTCCAAACTTGAAAACTAGAAGCTTACAGATCCAAGAAACTCAACAAACTCCAAGTATAAGATATATAAAGAAAATTCACAACGGCAACCAGTAATAGAAGCCAGTAATAGAAAAATGCTCAAACCCATAATAGAAAATTTAAGCATCCAGATAAAAAAGACATAGCACACACAGAGGAACAAAGATCAGGATGACATAAGACTTCCTTAACAGTTCTGAAAGCAAAAACTGTCAAACTAGAATTATATTCCCAGTAAAAATGCTTTTTGAAAACAAAGATGAAATTTTTTCTTCATTTATTACCAGGAGACCTGCACTATAAGAAATGCTAAAATAAGTCCTTCATGCAAAAGACACACGCCTGAGATCAAACAATTAACTGTATTGTTCAAATTTTGTTACCTTACTGATTTTTTTCTCCTTTAACTTATCAGTTAATGAGAAAAATGTTTTAAAATTTTTGGCTGTGATGGATTTGTCTATTTATAG